GCAGTGTCTTCAAAAACAGTTATTTCTTTTCTTTGATTTAATAAATGTTTACTTTTTAGAAACTTAATAATATATAACTTTTCATGTAGGTACAAAGACATGAGTCATTTAAAGACCTACAAGTTCTCTCTCTCTCTCTCTCTGTCTTTTTTTTTTTTTAATAATTCCCATTTTACTGTGTGTGTTTTATTTGTTTCTTTTAAATGCCAAAAATATTTGGGTAGGGATGTTTGGTTATGACACACATTATTTTTGAAGGAAGACATGTTGGCTCAAACTTAATTTAAAATTATTTTTAGTGCTACCAATTGATAATAATATCAATACCAAAATTCACTCCTCAGAATTTCATATAACAATCATCAGTTGCCTGATGATTGTTGTTACATGTCGCTCTGAGCAGTGGATTTTGGTATTGATATTATATTTAGGCTCTGTTGAATTTGGTATTGAGCCCTCGGTTTATTTTATATTGTAAGCTTTTAGCTTTTACTAGCAGTAGAGCCTGGTGTTGCCCGGGGATGTAACAGTAAGAGATAGATCAAGTATCGACCATCATAAAGACTGAAAAATAAAATTGACAAAGATTATTGTTTAAGGTTGACGGACACGCATGTCTTAATTAGTTTTTTGTTTTTTTTTGTTTTATTTTATGAATTGGTCAAACTCGAACAAAAACATTGTTTTCAATCGTTATGAGTCTACCGATTAAATAGAATTTTATCATAAACAATTGTCTTGTAAATGGAATTTTTAAAGCATTCTGAATGTAAAAATAAAGAAAAAAGTGTGCAAGACAATAAGAAACACTATGTGCCAAAAAAAAAAGTGAAGTTTTGTTGAAATCGGTTGAAAAATGTAGGAAATCTGATCCCATATATAAATGAAAACACACACAAACAACCTGGGTTTTATAATAAGTATAACTCGATATGAGTTGTCCCCCTTTCATTCTGGCGACAGAATCGTGTTTTATGGTGTTTTCAAATTGATTTCGTCAAAAACAATTGTGTTTTTCCAATTTTTGGTGCTGTCAGAACCACCGCAAGGTAATTTTACGTAGTCCTGTGAAGTTTTGTTGAAATTGGTTGAAAAATGTAGAAAATCCGATCCAATATATAAACGTAGACACACACACACACACACAATCTGCATTTTATAATAAGTAAGATTCTTGCTATTTGTGTGTGTGTGTTAGTGTGTATATATATATATATATATATATATATATATATATATATATATACACACACACACAACAGATATGTTGTAAATTTTTTTTTTTTTTACACTTTTTCTTTTCAGTGTTACATCCATATTTAGAATCAGTTATTTAAAGATCAGACCATAAAAAATAAGAAACACACTTTTGAGAGGTGAACATAAACACATTGAATGAAGCAGAAATTAAATTAACTGATTTCTGAACACTGTAAAGGACAAATATCAGAATCTTGACATTTAGAAAATAAATGGATTGATATACTGTCCCATTTGGGAATTAAATAAAAATATGTTTCCTATGTAATACATAATTTTTTCATTTAAATATTAAAAAAAAAAAATCCATCCATATTACAAATCAACATAACACATTCCTTTTTGAAAAATGTCAGCTTTGAATATTTAGAATTGTGCAAATGTCACAAATAATTCCCCTTTGCTGGTTATTGATGCTGTTGGGAGATAATAAATCATTGATATTTGAAAATATTTTGACACTTTAACATACTGGCGACACTAAGCCTCTTAAGATTCTCCAATCGATAAAGGAACAAATAATGTAGGAAATTACTAACAATTATTAAGAATGGTAAACAGATTTTATGATTGGAAAAGTATGACATGAAATTTGATTAGCTTTCCTCAGGATATTTCATCACTGATAATCCTTTCAGAAGAGACACATGCTCAAATTTTGTCAGATTTACACTCACCTCCTAATCTCAATGTGCCTGAATCTTTAAGACTTCTGTATACACAATTTGATTGGTTTAATTTGTTTGTTTTTTGCCACGTCAATCTTTTCCAGGTTATTTAATACCTAATTTTGTCATTTTAATGAACAATAGAGAGGTCGGATTTGAATTGGAGCCAGAAAGGCAGATGCAAGTCTGGTTTGAATGAGAATCATGGTTTACACAGGATCAGGAAAGAATAAATGCGGATCTGGTTTGCACGAGAATCAAAATGATGATCATGGGTACAGTAAATAGGTTGCCCCCATTTTGAGGTGTTTATCCATTTACATGAGGACACCATCAGTGTATTATTGATCTCAAACTATATAATATGACAAGAAATACGTTAAAACTTGCTAGTGATCTGTGAGACACAAAACTCCAATTACTGTTTATTTTCACTCTAAACAATCAAACAACCGAGCTTTGATTCACTGATACATTCTGATGACAGACCCCTTTTGGTGCTAATGTACCAGCTGGAAGGTTAAGTTTTTCATCATTTCCTGCTTTGATTCAAAACACTATTAGATCAATAATTGAACTTTGCAACATGCACTTTTTAATTATCGGTTTCTACCAATTTCTATTAAGCACTTAAAATTTGTAGCCCTTAATATTTACATGATACATTGAAAAAACATTTAAATACCTCTAATATGTTAATTAGTTCATATATAATGCTTGTCATAAAGCTCACTAGATTCATAAAATTAGAAAAGTAAATAATACAAATAATCTTGATAAAACTTGACACATAATACTGCATGTCACCTCAATAATGACTACAACTGAAAAGAACTTATCCACTCTTAATATAAAATTTGTTATAACAACTTAAAAAAAATTAGTGTTGTGATTTTTATTACTCCTTTACCCTTTTCATTTATGAAGTGGGTGAAGCATTATTTCTTTTTTTTTCTTTTAGAGTATGATGCATACCTTACATAGGTAGGTAAACACCATGGAATTAATATATGGACTGCTTTCCAGATTTCTTTTTCTACTCAATTGCACCTACTATAGAGCAGATGTTCATATGTTCATTTTGAAACTGTTTTTCATAAATTTGTTCCCCACTGGGTTATTAATAACTAAGATCTCAATCTTTGTAGCCATATTTATCACAACATTTTGGCTGATGTACGCTCTGGCCTTCTTCAGGTGGTTGGAATGTCAAACTGAACCCTTTATTTTGCTCGCTGGGGTAGACAAGATGAAGACAATAGTCCGAATAATGTAAATAGTATACATAACACCTCATCTCAGAAATATCGACAGATAAGATCGCAATCTAATTATTTGAACTAGTATCAATATCTTGTTGTTTTTTATCATAAAGATTTAACATTCTGTAGACTTCCTTGAGAATTTTTGATGATACATCATTCAAATAATGACCTTGTTTTGGATCAGCAAACCTCATGTTGCACCAATTTTGGCTTTGTGCAGCAAAAAGTCATTTTTGTATTCAAAATGCCTATGTTAGTTAATAGTTTAACAAGTTTACATTGTTAAAATGATCTTTCTTTTTAATCATTTCATCATACAGTGCTGATTCTTGGTTGGGACATGCACTGATAGAAAAGAGACCATATTAACATCTTAATTTTTTAGACAGCCAACAATAAGTCAACACAACTTGAAGGTGATTAAGTTATTGTTATGGTAATTTACCCATGCATGTATGGACTCTTCGAGTTATAAATAGGTGCAGGTACTGCCTTTTAGAGAGGGAAGTGTCCAGCAGTCAGCTCTGACAGTCGGACCAAACATTCTTGCTGTAACACTCTCATTTGTATATGTTTGTATTACTGTTTCTGTTAATATATTTGTTTAATTCAATTCCTCTCTCTGTGTCTTTATTTCTGGCCTGAACAAGGCCACAATAGAGAAGGACATTTTCTGTTTGAATTCTTGGGATGAGGAGATATTATTATTTATGTTATTTACAATTGGTCTGTTGTCCTCATTTTTGTTCTAACAACATTTTGGCCATTGTGCTCTCTGACCTTCATCAGGTGTATATCAATAGCCTAGTGGATTAAAGTATTGGTTCATGAATTTGGTGACATAGTAATTGTTAGTTCAATCCCTGACCAGGACAGTGTGTATCTGGCGGAAAGAGGCAAGCAACGACTGAATAGTACTAAAAATAAGAATGAGAAAATATCCCTGGACATGTGCAGTGAAACAAGAACAGTGTACCTCCAGTAGAACAAATAAAGAATTTCGTTTGGAATTCCCTATAGGTTATCTAGATTTAGTGTAAATAAGACAAGGACATATTTCCAAAAATCTAAAAGATGTGGTAGTTTTTAAATCTTTTTGCTTTATCCTTTAACTTCACACTTTAGTCTACTAAACAGCCCAAATGACTTTAGATTTGAATCTTCAACACACAAGAAATAAAAGAAAGAAAAATAAAAGAACCAATCTGAAACCATCAGATAATATATTCTGATCAGTTCTTTGAAGAACAATTCAACCATTTAGCTGAACTTAGGCAGCTGCACATAACAAAGCAGCCTAACAAATGGCTTTCCTGGTATGAATGACTTTGTTTACTTTCTTTTAGTTAAAGTGAACAAAGCCAACTCTTCATCAAAGAGAAATGCACAAAAAAAAACTATTTTAGTTGTCAGTTGAGTAGGGGAGGGAATTTGTCTATGATTATGAATAAACCACAGTCATTGCACTGACATTATGGTTTCATTGCATGTACTTCTGACCATTTTTAGATTCCAGCATCCTCTAAGAAAATTTTGTGTTTCAGTCACTTGGTTTATATTTTATATCCATTCTGATATATATTATACCAAATTTGAACATAAGTTAGAAAACGCAGCTTGCACTTAATTACACTGCATAGAACAAAGTTTCCTTTAATATTTTTGTCATCTATAAATAAAGACTTAAAAATCTGTAGACTCCTGTAGAGTATAAGCTTGCAAGGTAACATGGCTGTGGTTTCAGTAGAAAGTAGTTTTTTTATTAGGTGGAGTGTTAACCACAATGCCCAAATGATTTGGCCACATTACATTGAGACACTTGTTCCCATACAATCACTGAAGTTAAGCAGCATCAAGCCTGGTCAGTACCTAGATGGGTGACTGCTTGGGAATACCAGGTGCTGTAAGCTTGGATGTGTGGGTGGTGTAATGGTTAATAGCTTGGAATTGTTAATTGGAGAGCTGAGTTCTAATTCATGTTAGGTTCATTATATTATTTTATGTGCAAATACCCTTAGGAAAGTTATGAATCCACTTTGTCTCTCCCCACCAATAAGATTTGCATCACTAAACTATTATCTCCAAAAAAAAAAAAAATTCTTACAATATAAAAACATTTTCTGGCTTTAAATAACCTGCAAAGTGTTGATAAGCCATAAAAAATGAATGATTCAATCCACCGAATGATTTGAATTCAGAGTTGAACTTTGAGAACAGCTATACCTGTGTTTATACAGGCCAGTCATATGGGTTTCAGTTTATAATATCTGCAAATCCTTATTAAAAAGTAATTTTTTATTATTTTTTTTGTGAGAAGTATCAAATTTTATGATGCAAACAAACTTATGCAACATTAATTTTTATTTATAAATAAATCCAGAGAAATGTATTTGACTATTTTTGACACGGTGTGTAATAACATTGCATAATAAGAAAGAACCGTGTTTGGTATGACTATACTCTTTTGCCTATGGGCACATTATCAAGTAGTTAGAACATTCACTTTCTGACCATGAGACCCAGGTTTGAATCCCACCATTGTCGACTTGTTAGGAAGGTGACTTCTTGCTCTTATCAGTCTGGAGGAGGTGATCCCAGCATATGGCAGCTTCAGAAAGTGCCTGAAAACCATACTATAGATTGACCCAAGACTTGTGAGTGAAATTGGGTAGATGGAACCCATGGGAGTCTTTGGTGGTTGCACTAGCACAGTCACGAGTCATCATTACCGAGGGTTTGAGCGTGCTAGACTTGTTCAGACTGTTGATCACGCTAGATAACGTGCTCTCTCCCAGAAATTCTAACTAAGGTTCACTTAGCAGAGTCGCAGTATAAACCACAGATGGGCTCTGTAGATGTTGAACAAACACAAAATGTGCTTGAGCAGGCATCTGCAATGGGAATTAGCTAGCTGCCCTAGTAGACTGGCATCTTTGGATCAGATTTTTTACTTTTTTGCTTAAAGCTTCTTGGTTGCAACCTGTATGACTTAAAAAATCTCTTGCCACAGTGTCCCTTTTACCTGAATAAATTATTGTATTATTTTACATGTTAAATGGGATGCTTGACATTCTGTAATCTCCATCAGTCATTGTGATTTTATCAACTTTTTCTAATGTTTTGATATTAATATGCAGCAGTTTCTATTGCTTCAGAGATGATCTTTGCTTGAATATTTTCCATTTTCATATCCATCTCTTAATGATGGACAATATGTTTTTGATTGGATTAATATCTGGAGAGGCTGAAGGCGAGGTGAGCAATAGTCATCTTTGTAGAATGTAAAAGAGCATTGCCTTGCATGACTAATCTTTTAGCTTTTTTTTTTTTAATTATTTCATCCCAAGCAAGGCAATAAAGCCACTAAGACACAAGAGTTACTGAGTGTGAAATAATAAGAATAAGAAAACTATTATTAAGGAGTGAGAACAATGAAAGAAGAGGAATCAAGAAGACAGTAGATAATGACTGACATTGCATTTAAATTTTAAAGATCATAGTTGACTGGAAAGCAAGAAGTTGGAAGAGTTTCACAAGTGAGAAGTGTGAGAAAAGAAACTGTTAGCAAAGAATTTACAGTTACATCTAGTCAGTTCAACTTTAAATTGATGTGACATCATTGCCAATCAAGTATTGAGCTGAAATTCATAAAGGTTAGGTACAATAGCGAAGAGCACATCTGAACAATTACCATGAACGTATTTATAGAAAAAGGCCCAGGGAAGCTTCATTACTGCAGTAGGAAAATGACTGAAACCAAGATGCCAGATCAAAACCAATGTTATTTAAAGCTTTTTGGATGTAACCTGAACCACTTACAAGACAGTTTGTCCAAGAGCTTATAAAAACTGTCTGCTTTTATCCTTGTTATGGTGAAACACACCTATTCTATAGTTAATAGACTCTTCCACCTAATATAAGTAGGAGTAGTAAGAGAAACGAGGGTCAGTCGATGTCAGACGACAGTAGTCGAATACGAAAGTAGTCAGCGACCGCAACAAGATTACTCTGCATAATACCTATTATATCAAGTTCCTTATGTTTTTTACATTGAACTGTAGGCAGTAACAGGTCCCTTCAAATTTGGTTTCAGGATTGTTGTGGAGTTATTTCGCAGTGGAGGCTTGTATTTATACTAAATCGGTCCTAGACCGATTTAGTATAAATACAAGCCATTACCATTGAGTCATCATTACCGTTATCATTGAGTGTGCTAGACTTGTTCAGACTGTTGATCACGCTAGATAACGTGCTCTCTCCCAGAAATTCTAACTAAGGTTCACTTAGCATAGTCGCAGTATAAACTTGTATTTAGACTGATTTAGTATAAATACAAGCCTCCACTGCGAAATAACTCCATAACAATCCTGAAACCAAATTTGAAGGGACCTGTTACTGCCTACATTAATAGGTCATCTTAAGTCATGTTGATTGACTGTTTCTATGAAGGACCTAACTTATAGTCCAGCCATCAAATCTGTCTAACAAATCACCATTTGCTTGTCATCATTGCCCAGCTTATATGTTTCTCTTTGTGACTTTTGCTTAAAGGTAGTAATTTGGTTTGTTTCATGTCTTTGACCAATTTTCTTAATATTCTGTATCTTTTTTTGTCTGTTTCCATTTGCATCACCAACTTCAAATATTTTCTTGCTGGTCAATCCACTTTTTTGGCATGTTACCTTTTTTAATGTTTCTCTTAACATTTTTAATTTAAAAAAAAAAAAAAAAGGCAGATTTTTTTCTTTCACTTATTTTTATTTTTAATTTTTTTTTTTTTAACAAGATACTTATTTTATTTATTTATTTATTTATATTTTTTAATCACTTCACCCCAAGCAAGGCAGGAATGCCACAAGTACACAAGAGATTAAAAGAAAAAAATACTGGATATAGGAAGCATTGAGGTAAGGATAAAAGATAAACAGGGTTCAAGACATAGAAGATGGTGATTGATGTTGCATTTAAATTTTTAAAGATTGCAGTTATCAGGGAAGCAAGTAAGCGGAAGGGAGTTCCACTGTTTGGAAGTGCAAGAAAAGAAACTGTTGGAATAGAAGTGGTGGTCATATTTAGCTATTTCAACAGTAGAAAGTGGGACCTAGATGCCAATCTAGTAGCACACTTAAATTCATGTAGTCGAGGGGACCAGGGGAAAAACTTGTCAGAGCAGCTGCCATGAAAATATCTGTAGAAAAGACTATGTCACGTTGGTGAGAAAGTGACTGAAGTCGAGATGTCTAGTCAGGATCAATTACATTACAGATCCTTCTTTGGATTTTGTCAAAACCCTCAAGATGAACATCAAGGGCACCAGACCAGATATGGCAACGGTATTCAATGCATGGGCAAATGGTAGATTTGTAAATATGCAAGATGGACTCTGACGAGAAATTAAGTTTGATCCTTTAGTTAACAGCTACTCAGAGAATATTTCATGAAAAATATTTTTTTTTTTACAGTATCAAAATTTATTTATCTGTCTTTTTAAAAATCTAACATTGATCACCCACCTCTCCTGTAGGAAACTAACTATATTTCCCGTGGGAGAGGTGGGAATACTTATCAATTTGCTTCCAAGGACAGTCCTAATTATCAACAGTCTTTTCCAATTAGAATATTCTTGAAAGAGCAGTACGACTAAACTTTAAATTTCACTACTTTCAATTCAAAAGATCTACTTTTAAAATAAGTGGGCCGGGTGGTTAAAATTTAATATATTGTGTTCAAATCCTGGGCGTGGGGTATTCTTCTAGGCAATACCACTTCTTTGAAAAGGGGTTAAGGTCATTACCTGGTGCTTGAGGCATCCCAAGCAGTTATTTTATTTTTTTTAACAGTGGTGTTCACCCTATACAAGGCCTGAGAGCCACTCAAGATACAGGATTACATAGTAAGAGGCACAGTTTATACAGATATGTAGAGAAGATAACGCTATACTTGAACAGGTTAAGGTTGCAGTGAATAGGGAAGCACCCTCTTGGAAGTCAGTTCCACAAATCAGCAGTTTGTGGGAAGACGCTGCATGAGTTGAACTTACATCTCACCAATGGAATACAAAGGGAATGAGGGTGGTTCACTACAAAGGGCGTGGCATGGCAGGGGTCTTAGCCATGAAGATTAAAACTGGTTGAACTAAGGAATGTACTTTGTCTGAACATTTTCCATGGAAATAGCAATATAGTGATGAGAGGTTTTCCCTATTTTGTCAGTGAGAAAGGGGTTTTAGGGTGGAAAATAATTCATCACCCACAAGGATGCAGGGATGATTTTGGACTGAATCAAGACTGGAAAGTGAAGTCTGGGCAGCTTATGCCCATATATGGCAGCACTACTTAATTTTCCATTTGATCTGGCTCTTGTAAAGGTGTAAGATAGCAGGAGGAGTCAGGTCCTTACTGCTGTGGTACAAGGAACTGACCATTTTTCCAGCACCTTTAGCAATGGATTGTATGTAGAAGTTCCACTTAAGGCCTGGGTTGGGTTTAAGTCCCAATAGGTGCTCAATGCATGGGACCCCACCCAAAGGAACATCTGTTCCATTTGATTGGTGATAGTTCTGAGTTCAGTTGGTGATATATTCTTGGGCTCCCACTTTAAACATGACCATGTGTTACATTCCATTTGAGAGGGTGTGCAGATAAATAGCTACTTTTAAAATAAGCTGGGTTAACTTTGGCTCTTAGTGAGAAGAAATCAGTTCAAAATTTAGTAGTACTGGTTTTTCAAAAGAAGCCCATTTCACTATTTGTGGTTCAATCTGGTATCCATTTTTCATTAAATATTAAGCCTTTTGGCTTTTCAAGAAATAGGATTACTTTTAAATACATATGTTCATTTAAATCTCATAAGTTAACAAATTTTAAACATATGGCATCTGTAGAGTTATGGTTAACAAGAAGGAAATT